GAGTGGCAGGTGATGGGAGATTTGTGGATATATAAAGTCAACAAGCTGCATGTGAAATAGACAGGCAGAGGGATGTTAGAAAAGAGTTGGCAGTCAAAGTGATGAGAGAGATGACTAGAATAAGAAAGAGGTCATTGGAATTCTCACTTGCCAAAAGGAAGATTTGGTCTGTTATAAGACCATAAGTGGTGAAGATGTCCTAAATGTCAACTACCTACCACCCTAGACGATGTGAATCCATGAACAAATAAATATATTGAAAGCAGGATTTGTATTTTAATTTCTTGCCATGGCATTTGTTTTTTCTTCCTTTGTGAATGTACACCAAGCTTTTTCCTAGTTTTTATTGACACTGATGGAAACTGGAATTTAAACACATGGTGAAATGCTGAGAGAAGGCCCTTGGTGTATGCTTACAAGGAGTCATGAATGGCCTCACTGAAGCCTAAATGATCAATGGACCTGAAAGAATTTTCCCAAAGGGTGATCACCTACTTTGTGTATGTATATATATATATATATATATATATATATATAATGGTGGGGGGGGGATCTGCAGAAGATACCATTGGCATGAATATCAAAAGAAATTTTGTGATTAATAAAATTGAATCATTTGGTATTGTTATTTAAATATTTTGTTCAAGTACAGGAGAAGTTAGTCATGGCCATTAGAAGTTTACACTTTGTGATGCAAAAAAAAAATTGTTCTACTATTGCAGACGACTAATCTTCCACTAAAGTATTTTTGAATTTGATGGATGTGTTAAGTCTTGCTATGGCAATAAAAACAACTATAAACTAAAATCAACTAGGCTACTGCAATTGAAAATGAATGTAGTAAAAGGAGTAGTAATACTTGAGAATAATACAGAGTGCTAAAGGTCAAAGAATAAAGGAAAACATTTAAATAATTTTTAGCATCAATATTTGTTTTTGTCTTTATACATTATAGATTCAAAGCATAGTTGGAATATGTTACTTGTATGTATTTACCATCTGACTCCTTTATCATGTATTATGAAAAAGAAAATCCACTATCCACTATCAACAATTGATGCTTTTCTTGGAATAAAAAAAAAATTACATTAGTTTCATTATTGTGAAATGGTAACTGCAAACCAGATTTTTTTTTTTCCTGGTGGAAAAAAAAAAAATGGCAATAAAACTGTGTCAAAAGGATGGGTTTTCTCTTGACACTACTATTTTATACTAACTCCACTCCTTTGAAAATGTTTTAAAAACTGATTAGAATTTAAAAAAAAAAAAACCGAAACATGAAAATGAATTTATACATTTTCTTTGAGAATTTACAACAAAAATATTAAATACTATTTATTTATTACATTCTAAAAATGCAAACCAACTAATACAAGAAATAAATAGAAAAATAATTTTTTTATTCATAAATTTATAAGAATTTACTAAGTCATAAAAATATGTAAACCAAAAATAATGAAATTTTTACAATTTTATAAAGTTTTTATAAATTTTTGAATAAATATTTATTTTCTCATTTATTTCTTTATAAAATAAGTAATAAATATGGCATTGTACACAGTTCACATATTTCCATAATCTTGTAAACATTGTCGTGGTAGTTTAAGGAAATAAACAGCAAAACCATATTTTTGACAAAACATTTTTATTTTGCAGGTACAAAGGTTAAACATTACTAAAAAATTTAAAGAAAAAAACAAAAAAACTTGATACATATGAACTTATAAGCATAAAATTTTATTTGGTCCAGGTTTTATGATTAGATTAAAAGTAAGATCTGTCCAAAAGAAGATAGAAGGGAAGTAAAACAAATAAATGAAACCTTTCAAGATTAACTGCCACTTGGCCAGAGGTTAGAGAATTCCTGTTATAGGCTTGAATACACAGTTTGACAGACTAAGTAAGTTTCAAACCATACTTTGGTGAGTGACAGACTATCAGTGAAGTGGTAGAAAGCCATGCTAGGAATAATTGCATTTTTCTTAAATCTTACAAAACATTCCTAAACAGAAATTTTGTAGTTTTTAAGTTTCCAATATATGACATAAAACTATTGAGTTACCCAAAAAGGTTTTCTTGCTTATTAAATAGAAAATTTATTTAATAAACTGAACTAACTTTTTGGCCAGCCTAATATTTTCTAGATAGCTTTTTGCAAAGTGAAAGTTTATTCTTATCAATAATTATCCCTTGAATTGATTTTCACATCTAATTTAATTGATTTCATGTTTTATTAAGACAGAGTTTTTTCATATTAAAAATGCTTCCTTAAATCTTTCTATAGTTCATAAGTGGCTCTGTGTTTTTATGAAACAATTTACAAACCTTTTCAGCAAAATTTAACCTTTGTGCTTGCAAAGCCATTTCAAAAGGACAGTTTTTCCCTTGACACCATTATAACAGCAGACTACCTTGATTCCCTCAGCAATATTTATTAATTTAAAAAGCTATGACTAGAATTTTAATAAACCCAAACATATAAATTCTCAAGAAAAAGTGTATAACAAAAAAATTAAACACTGTTTATTTACAACATTGTAAAATTGCAAACCAATACAATGCAATATTTATCATTTAAAAATTTATAAAGAAAAATTATGGAAACAATTTTTAATTCATTAATTTATAGACATTTAATGAATTAGGTGAATCAACTATAATGGAATCTTTATTTACCATTTTATAAAGTTTGAAATGACTGGCAATTTGCCAATGTTTTACCAATCATTCCAAAGAGCACAATTCATTAGCTTTGCTGATTCATTTAAGATTTCTTTATCACTCAACATTTGGCTGACAAATAATCTATTGACACATTTTCTAGGCATTTTTAGATAAATTAGCAATGATTTTTAAAAAAATTTCAAAGTAAACGTGGGTTACCTCTAAGATTAAGTTTCAGGTGTTGGATTTCTATTGATTAGACATCCTTGATTGTAGATTACAATTATAAAAAATCATTGGAAAATTAAAGCAAAAAGTAATCTAAGAAAAATAATTCAAGACAATATATAATGCCCAGAAAAATAATGTTTATTTAAATTTTCTTCTATAATTCATAGATATTCTAATAAAATTATGAATAAAAAATGTTTTTGTAAAAGATTTCTTTTCAAATTTATTTCCTTTATAAAATGGTAAATAATAAATGTGCTTGGTTAACATATTTTTTAATAATCTTATAAATAAATGTTGCCAAGGGAGATTTGGTAGTATAAGATAATAGCAATGTCAACAGAAAAGCCATCCGTTTCAAAGACTGTTTTTTTTTTGCAGGCACGAAGGTTAAATTTTGACACTTTTTTTTTTTTCCTCTAAAATAATTTCACAATCAAATTTTATAGATTTGCATCCAATCTAATAAACATATTTTTATACAAAAGATTATAAATTTAGGTAACATAGTTTCAAGTACCACAAGGAATACTCAACCACTCTTTCAAAAATTATTTTAAGTCACTTATAATCCAAACTGTATGTCTTCATGATGCTTAAGTTATTTACAAAGCCAATATTAAAGTGCAGGAGGAAATAAAAACAATGCAAAAAATGAACTCAAAAAAAAGAAGAGTTGAAAACCATCAACAACTTTCAAAATCTTTTTTTTTTTTTTTTTTAATTAAAGGATATTAATATTGAGAGATTAATCATTCTTCCTGGGTATAAATTTTTTCAAAAGAAATTCTGGGTTTCTTTTTTCATCTGATTAATTTTCATTAGCAACATTATAGAGAATATAACATTAAAATTATAAATTTCTGAGCAGGATTTTAGTGCAACCATCTTTTCTTGAGGAAAGATAAAAAAATATCTACAGAGAGTGAAAAGATCAAAGGAGATAATAATAATAATAAAACAATGACAACTATGACTTTTTTTTTATAATCCATTTAAAATCTTAGAAAACTGATTTATTGTTCATTTCTTCAGTTCTGTACAAAAAAGAAAAAAAGATCATACATAGCTGAGTAGTTAGAACATTTGTGCACTAAACATCAAACCTTCATTTAAATCTGACCAGGGTCAGTTTGTGAAGGAGATGACTCCTTGATAATATTGGCCTGAGATCATCTCCCCAGGCTGATATACCAGAAAAAAACCATAACCATATCATGCGGTGAGCCAAACCCATCAGTGAAACTGGGTAGACAAAACTGTGCAAGCATAATGCTACAAGTTACAGTGACTGAGGTTTTTAATGTACTGCCTGTGTTCAAATGGTGATCATGTCAAATTATGCATTCTCTCCCAGAAACTGTAGTATTATAACAAAAATAAACTGTACAAATGCATGCAAACTCACAACTAAGTCAATTTAATAATAATAATAATCAGTAGGGAATAATTAATAAGTACAAAATACACTAAAGTAATAATAAACAAAAAGTTAACAACCCTATACAATAGCTACAAAATAATCACATTTTGATCCATAAATAGTTCTATTCAATAGCCATCAAAATAATCTTAGATAATCATTCCCACCTATCCAACAGCCATTAGAATAACACAATAACTGACCTTGCTACCTGAAACAGATTATTACCATTCAACATTGATCTGTGTATACTGAGATAGTATATTTACATATACTCTCTCAGATGTTGAGTATTTTCCTCCCATTAATATAGTATAACTTAAAACTATATTTTATATACAAATATAAAATTAGTCACATAGCTTATAATTTAAGCATAAAACAGACTGTTGCCATTGGGTGTTGACCTCAATGTTCACTTTTATATTTACATATGCTCTATTCTTGATACTGAGCATTTTAACCCATAAATATAGCATACCTTATAACTATATGTATAGAGTATGTCTGTAAAAGGTCTATGAATAAAGAAAACATGTTAGCTAAGTTTTCCTTGTCTTTATTCATATATATGTGTGTACCCAAGCCCACCCTTCATGCCATGTACACAAGGGTGAATCATCTTCATTCCTTCATATTCCATTGCTAAGTTGGATTTCCATATGGACACCTTCTCAAAAAGCTACTGTGCTTCAGTGAGTTTGTGCGGATCTTGGCGCAGTTTTTTGTGAACAAAATCAAATTGCTTCAAGTGTCGGTGAATTGTCGATTTGCCAACTCCAAGCTCATCAGCCAATTCTCGAGTGCTCGATGAAGGCACAATGTCCAACCCAGTTTGCAAGTCACCATCATCCAACTTTAATGGCCATCCTGAATGAGGCTTATCTTCAAGACTCATGTCGCCAGAATCGAAACGCTTATACCACTTTGAGATCGCAGCATATGCAATTGTTCCTTCACCTTCAGCAGCACAAATCTCTTCTGCAGCTTTTCTGGTTGAAAGACCTCGCTTCCAGCTGTAACGAATCAAAACTCGCAAAACTTATATAAATTATCTAGAATTTTGTGGTGATGGTTTGATTCCTGACTAACATATCTACGTGTATGGTTTGTAATAACCATTATTCAGGTCTAAGGTTAAATCGAGGAAGTTGATTGGTGGTGGGGATAATATTTAGTTTGTTACCTTTAAAATTTTTATCAGTTCCTTTCTCAATTGGTCCATATTTCGTGAGCTAGTTTTATGGAGGAGATCACTATAGCTTGGTGTCCTTGATGTAGAAAATAAATCTTAGTTGCTACAATAATAGAATTTGAACAAGTTTACATGCCTCAGCTGAATCATACACTCATAACAATACTAAATTCTTGGCATTTGATATTAAATTTTGGAATAAATTAATTTTTTAATTCAAATGATGTTCAGTTTCAATGTGTGAATTATGAAATTCCCTATTTTAGCATAACTCATGTGATATATGACAAAAGAAAAAGATGATAGATTTATGAATAAAAACAAAATTCTACCTTACAACAATCAAATGTTTGATCATCCCAACTGACCTATTCAGGGAGGTCTGGAATAGAGTTGGTTGGTTTGGCAATTTATGTTTCAGTATCACTTTCTGTTTTCTTTTCCCTTGATACCACAGTTTTCAATTCGGTTTTTAATTTAGTATTTTTGCTTTTTAAGGAAGCCATTCATTTTCTTGTGTAATGATAGCATTTCCTGTTGAAATCTGATTTTATTTGAGATTGATAAATTTGCAACTGAGTCCATTCAACTTGCAACTTCTTGTGTATTTCTGGCCCAATCTTAAAAATATTCATATAATAATGATCTTTTTAAATATGTAATTTGTATATGCTTTTATTCATTGAATTATTCTTTTGCAGCGTGTTAAACTTTTGCTTGGAACAGCTGAAATATAAATTTTTTTAAGATAAAGTTTTACATGTTACTTTGTTTCACAAAATCAAAGTGACCAATCTTTATCAATATTCTTGAAATTGTACACTCAATTAGAAGACACCTTAAACTACAACCAGGAAGATGTTCATTTCTTCTCTGGCCCCTAGAAGGGAATTCCTTCAAAAATTATAAAGTAGGCAAAAGAAAAAAAAAAGAAGAGCAACTGATAATAATAAAAGTGTGGTAAAAGAACTTTAAAATTATTGAAATTACTGTTTGACACTGACAGGCACTTGTTTTCAAGCGATTATTTTATTTAGAGGCAAAGAATTCTCCCATTCATATCCAGAAATGCTGATAATATTTTACATTTATGGTCTGTCATAGAAAATAAATATGTATTATATTAAGGCATAAAAAAATGATTTAAATATCTGAACAAAGGTAAACATTCATCGAAAAATGATTTAATACAAATAAAAAAGAAAAAAGTATGTTATGTGTAACAGAAATCTGTTTTAACACAAACTTGGAATTGTTCTTTATATTAAATGTAGAAGAAAACAGTATAAAAGATAATTTTTCATTTTTTTTATTAATGTTTTAAATTCTTTTTTTTTTTTCTAAGTTGTGCACTTTTTTCCCCTGCTTTTCGTACATCACTATCTTATGGTAAACTTAAAAAAAAAAAAAAATATAGTAATTTTAAAAAAAAAATTTTCTTTTAATTCTTTCAAAACTTAAGAAAATTGGGGGCTATGGATGTTATTCAATGTTTAGATTGTTTCATCACATTGTCTTAAATTATGGTTAAGAAAAACCAGTTTCTCAGCATGAGTAGGTTTCAGCCTACATCTCCGGTCATTGATGACAAGCCCTGCCTTGCTAAATATTCTTTCACACGCTACAGAAGTAGCTGGAATACTTAAAAAATCTCTTGCAAGAAGAGAAAGATTTGGGTAGAACATCCCATTTTTCTTCCACCAGGCAAACGGACAGGCTGATGGGTCGATATTTTTTTCATAGAGATATCTATCCACCTCGCTCTTAATCCTAGATACTTTTTTATCTCTGGTATCAGTTTCCTTTTCAGCCTGAACTTTCTTTTTGAGAAAACCCCAAAAGTCATTTCTTTCTTCTTTTGCTTCACTACTTTGTTCATGTGGAATACATTTAATTTTAGTTTCTTCTTCGGTGTCACTGGACAAAGTTGACAGCAATGACTGATGATCTAATAATTTATTCATCAGTATGCATTTTGCCATGGTTTTCATTCTGTCATCTGAAAATGCAATGAGTTTAAATCGAGGGTCCAAGCATGTGGTGATGGCATATAATTCCTCACTTTCATAGTTGGGCCAACTTGATTTGATGTTGGCTATCACCTGTTCCCCAAAACAATCCAGCTCAGACTTCATCATCTTGTCAATAAGTGTATTCAGAATTGGAATAATCATTGATGCCATTGAGTATCTGGATGCTGACATAATTTTTGTTGCATCTTCAAAGTGTTTGAGAGCATCAACATATTCTGTTGCCAGCTTCCAATCTGTTTGAGTCAAGTTTTCTACCTTGTCAAGAGAGGGAAGAGTGGTTCCTTTTGGTCAATAAGCCTTTCTATCATATAATAGGTAGAATTCCACCTTGTCTCACACTCAGTTTTTAATTCACATGGAGTCAAACCCATTGATGTCTGCATTTCTTTCAACTTGTTTGTTGAAAGTGCACTATGCTGAAAATGGCTGATAATCTTTCTGCATTTTGATATCAAATTTTGTAGACCTAGGAATGATTTGATGCTGTCTTTTACAACCAACTGCAATTTGTCTGCAAAGCATTGCAATGGTTGATAGTTGTGTGGCAACAGATTTGAGGCTGCAACCATATTGGCTGCATTATCTGAAACCAGATAAATATTCATTTTATCACCATCATTAGGGAACCATTTTCTAACTGTGCTGCAAACTTCTTTAGAAATGTTTTCAGCTGTGTGAGAATGAGGTGAATGAGAAACATTTAAACAGAAGTCCTTAAGATCAAAAGATGGTGTTAGAAAATGAGCAGTCACAGAAATATAGGAATCATTAGCTTGGCTGGTCCAGTAGTCTATTGTCAATGAAATGGACTGTATGTCTGACAACTGTCGCCAAATGTCAATACTGACTGACTCGTATAACTCGGGAATCAAAATGCTGCTAACATGTTGTCTGGTTGGCAACTGATAAGCAGGTTGTAGACATTTGACGAAGGATTTAAATCCTTCATCCTCAACAATGCTCACAGTCTGAAGATCCTTACAGATCATTTTCACAAGACTATGGTCAGCTTGTCTTTTCCTTGGATTAGTATTGTCCCATATAATTGGTGAATTTACAAAGTTGATAATTGTTTCTGGTTTCATTGTGGGAAGTGCAGCATTATGATCAATCTAAAAAAAAAAAAAAAAATTGCTTGTTTGACTAAATAATCATATCATTTTTATTATTTCTTTTGATATCATGAAGATACGCACTCTCAAATTTTTTAGCTTTTTTTTTTAAGGAATGCTCTCTTCAAATTAGCAGTAACAGCCAGCCCCATATGCTCCGTTGATCTGCTTTTTTCTGAAAAATAAACTTGTTTTTCATCTGAATTCTTAAAAAATTTTCTTTTACTATAAATTATTTTGGTCATTTTTTGATAAATATGAATTAAAGTTTACAAATTTTATTATTGAAAGAAAAACAAAGTTAATTCATTGTTAAAAGACAGTTTATTGAGACATTGAAAAATGCCCAAAACAATTTATTAAAAGAAAATTATTTAAGAATTCAGATGAAAAACAAGTATATTTTCCAGAAAAGGCAGATCAAAAGTGAGTAAGAGGTTGGCTCCTGCTGCTAATTTGAAGGGAGCATTCCTTTAAAAAAGAATCGTGAGTGCATATCTTGAAGATTACCCTATCTAAAATTTTTGAAACAAGCCTTTTCGGTAAAGGATCCCACTTAACTTTTCTGTGAGGCCAGCGTCATCGTTAGTATTTTAGCCAAGGAAAGCTTTCATAATTTAATGACTTGTTTTTATTTGACAAAACTTTTTTTAAAAAGTTTAATTATATTTGCGTATGCAAAATCAACAATCAACATTGTAGTCACTCCATTCAAGAAGAAAAGTGTTACTTTTTTTTTTTTCAGCAATAAAGTTGAATTAATTTTTTTTTTATTATTGCTTTCAAAAATAAAACTTTCTTGAATGAAGCTTAACCAGTACCCAATATTAGTTCTAAAGATGTACAAATAAAAAAAAAAAAAAAATGGACAAAAAAGTGCGCAACTTAAAAAAAAAAAAAAAAAAAAAAAAAATATTGAAACGTTAATAAAAAAAAAGGAAAATTATCTCTTTTTAACAATTCCAAGATTATGCGTAAAAAAAAAAAAAAAACAGATTTCAAAAACAAAAAAGATAAGTTATTTTTTCTTATTTACGAGACTTAAAGTTTCAGAATGTAAGATGACCTACCCACTTTATCGTAATATCGATTTTTTAACTAACATATGTTCCGTCATTGAATTCTCTTTCCAAAAAATTTAAAATTCATTTTTCTTCACCAAAAAATTACGAAGAACTATATGAGGGGAGGGGTCAATAATACATAAAAACAAAAAGTTAAAAAGAAAGACTAAATATCACCTAATCGCTGACCTAAAAAAAACAAAACAAGATTTTCAACCTAAATTTAAAACATGCTGCAAAGGAATAAAAAATTTTTTAAAATACATTGATCTTTCCTACTTTTTCGCGATAAAACTTTGTTTTTATTAAGTTTCGGGCCTTTTTTTTTCATATGCGTTTTTTGGGCGACAAACCTAACGAAAAAAATACTTAGCCTATTCAATAGACTAGAGAGCACTAGCACACATTTAAATTTAATTAAAATAAAAGCTCTACTTTTATTTCATTGCGACATATTTATTGAAAAATACCCAAAATAATTTAATGTAAGAATTCAGACGAAAACTAAGTTAATTTTCTGGGGATAAAAAAAGCAGATCAAAAGAGACGAGGCTGACTCTTCCAGTTTCTAATTTGAAGGGAGCATTCCTTAAAACAAAACAAAACAAACTGAAAAGCTCAAAAATTCGAGAGTGCATATCTTGGTGATAACCAAAATAATTAGTTTTGAATTAGTGCCACATTTTTTAGTTATATTCATTTCTTACGACACTAATATCGGCTAGAGAGCCGTTCCTCTATGGGCCCTGTTTAATATTTGTACCAATTTCTTATTTACTAATTAACTCATCATTCATTTAGAGAATTTGTACCAATTTCTTACTAATCGAATTAATTCATCATTCATTTAGAACGGGAACATTTAGTGACAAAAATGCTTACCTGTAGTGATGTAAACATACTACTACTACTTGTACTAGGTTGAACATTGGTACTGCTATCAACTTTCTTTAGAATTTCGTCATATTCTTTCTTGTGGTATCTCTTCAAATGACTTCGCAGATTACTCGTGTTTCCTTGACAAGCTACTATGTTGTGTTTGCAAATATTACATTTGCAAGAAGTTTTGTTTTGTCGCGTAAAATAAACGCCCCACATACTTTTCGACTTTCTAGTTTTGTTTTTTGAAACGTCTGCCATTGTGGAAGTTAACTAACAGTTCTGGTGCATAAGGGCATCACTATAAGCAAGGCTGCAAGGGTTATAAAATGTGCGTAAAAAAAACTAAAAGTCTAAGGACCACTGGAATTGAAAACCCGAAAACCGCAAATCGGAGCGGGTAATAAAGTAGGGATTGTTCACCTAAAGTCAGTTTTTAGGCTTTGAACTAAGGTAATTTTTACAATTCAATTCATGACTTAAAAAAAAAAGGTTATTTGGTTTATTTGCAGTAAAAGCCCCCGGTATTGAGAATGTACCATTCTGGTGTGAAATTGCCTGGTTATTTTGAAAATAACCTTAAAACATTGCGCACGATTACCATTTTTGATTTATCGTCAATATAAGTTCGATCTCTTTCGCGTTGTCCGGCCGCCATTACTCGCGTTGTTTGCATACGTTTTCCCTCTAATACGCGGAAACTTACTTAGTTACAGCCTTTTTACAGCTTTTTTCGCATCTTACTGGTCTTGATTACTGCGCGATTTTCGGATGTTATTTTAAAATGCGCTTAAAAGGAAGTTTTACATGAATAGTATTTTTTCTTTATTCTCCTTCTTAATCTGTTTATAGCTAATGAAACATAATATCACCCTAAAATGTAATTTAAATTCATGAGCTCTCACGACGCATAAAAAAATATAGTTGAAAAGAAAAAGGTTTTTTTTTTTTTTTTTTACTTTTCAGGCACGTAATTTTTATTTTAATTGTCGGATTTTACGTTTTTTTTTTTTGCGCATTCATTTCAAACTTCGCGCAGTGCGCATTAATCAAGACAAGTCAAGCTTCCGCGCCGCATGACAACTCTAGGCAAACGTATTTACTAAACAATGTCAATAATAATAGCGGACATTCCGTGTACGCGAGGAGAAAGAAGTCAAACTTACATTGTTCATAAATTAAAAGCGCAATGTTTTAAAGTCATTTTCTAAATAACCAAGCTATTTCACACCAAAATGGTACATTCTTAAAACTGAGGGTTTTTGGTGTTTTTTTTTTTTTAAAAGTAACTTTCAAACAAACTGTCAACTAAAAATGACTACCATGATTAACAAATTGGTAATTACGAGAGAAATCGTTACATAAACTGTCTTTGGACAACACATTTTTAGAAAGAAAAAGTATAGTTCCCCACAAGATGTGACTTTTAAAAAAAACACCCCTCACTAAAAAAAAAAACAAAAAAAAACAAACACATAATGAATGTTTAAAATAATTAAAAATACGCTAATTGAATTCTTTTCCTGTTACGCCAGCCAATGAGTTATTTTCCCGCTAAATTTTTTATCTAGCCGTGAATACACCTAAAATTAAAATAATTTTAAAAATGCTTTTAATTATAATTTTACTACAATACAATGTGTAGTGTATATTTCCAAATCTGCGAGTATCACCTGTTCTTTATTAGATACACATTTTAAAACTGAAATTAAAAACTTTAATCATTTTTTTATGTATTCGCTAGAAAACCATAAAGAATAAAAATGTAAAATAATGATGTAAAAATAAAATGAATTAATTTTCCTTGTTTAGAAGAATTTTATAGACAGAACACTGAGAACAGTAACACCCAACGAACACTAGTGACTAAAAAAAATAATTTTTACTTTGAATTTAAAAAAAAAAAAAAAAAAATATGAATGCAGTTTTGAAAATATAGTAATACGCATTTAAAACAGAGATTAAAACTTACTTTATTTATTTATTTTTTTTAATTTTAGGTGTATTCACTAGATAGAAACAATATTTGTAGAAAACAAACAATTTTTTTTTTTTTACTTACACTGGACTCGCATATCTGGAAATATAAAAAGTGAAATTAAGAACTATTTTAATTATTCTTAATATCTAATTTAGGTGCATTCCTTTGATGAAAAAATTTATTTATAAAAAAAAAAAAAATCCATTCAATTTTCTGGTTTACAACAACTTTATTTTTTGTGATTGGCGTACTGGCTTACTAGAGAAAACAATTACGTACGACCCTTAGAAAAATCCACTTTATAAAATTTAACATTAAGACAAAACTGACAACTATTTTATTTATTCGCTATTTTGTTGTTAATGTTAACTTAATTTTACTACAAAGTTTTTTTGTTTTTTTTTAACTGAAACATATGTATTTTCCTTTTTTTTCTGTTTGAAAACATTCTATGAGTTCCAATAATTGTCATATTTTCCTTACATTTTTTTCTCCTCTTCTTCATTTCTTTTGTAAACTGTAAACAAATATATTTCACATTTCTAGTCTATAGCTATGTCAATTTCTCATGCTTTTCCTTCCAGGGAGAGTGCCAGTCTCGATTTATCAGTTTCCGTAAAAACATTTGCCATAATTCAACTTCTAATTTCCATTGTGAATAGTCTTTGTTTCTAAGTAGTCATCTTTAATGTTCTGCTACGATTGATAAAAGTAGTTCCTCTGGGCAAGTCAAAGTTCAAGTGCCAAAAAAGAAATGACAACCAATCCAATCCTGGGCAGGAGGGGACATAAATCTATGCTCCTGCTGATAGGAACAGTCCATTAAGTTGGGGAGCGGGGATAACTGGTTAATACCAGTTACAATAAACAATAGTTAGCAGTAATAACAGGAGAATAAAAGCATTTTAATAACCTACTAGTGCATTTTCTTGTGCATAATATGATAAATTTTGAACAAAAATTAAAGGCAAAAAAGAGGAACGTTGTATTATAAAGCACAGTTTTTCAAAAAATTTTACTCTGCTTACAAAAACCTCTTATTTGAAACAGCAAGCTTGCAAACACACTCAGCACAATGGATAATAAAAACAAGGTAGCCAAGTGTTGATAACAATTGTTTAAAAAAGGTATTTCATATGTCCACAATATTTGTTTCTCTTCCTTCATAACGAAAGACAATATTTTTTATTTTCATAGTTTATTAATATATAGAAATATAATAGTCATATCAAACAGAAAAGTATGATAAATTAATTAACATCTTAAAATATATTACTGAGTATGTCTAGTTATCACCTTTGCTTGAAAATGATTTTTGAAACAGAAATTAAAACACAATGCCTAAACATCTAGTTCATTTCTATTCTTTAATATTGTGAAAAAATAAATATTTTAGTGAAATATATGTACGACATTGAGATTTTTATTCAGGAGTTTTTCTTTATTTGAACTCCAATGATGATTTTGAAGGCTTTATTCAGGTGGATATCGACAGTGAAGTGGTCAGAGATTGTTGTGGCCTTGTTAGAGTCAAAAATAAAGACACAAAGAGAAGAATTGAATTAAACAAATATATTAACAGAAACAGTAATACAAACATACAAATGAGAGTTACAGCAAGAATGTTCAGTCCAACTGTCAGAGCTGACTGCCAGTAACTTCCCTCTCCAAAAGGCAGTACCTGCTCCTATTTATAGCTGGAGAGTCCATGCGTGGGGAAACTACCATACCAGAGATGGAGATGATAACCACGCTAGTGATGTGGAGGAAAGCTATGGTGACCACTAGGTGCTGAGCAGCTACTATCATCCATGGCTGACTAATTTTATGGAAGCTAGTGGCCTCATGGATGTATCTAACAGCCTTTCTGAAGGTGAAAAATTCTTTGTCTGTTTATAAACAATGAAATAATAATTTTATTTGTCAATGAGACAAATAAATATGCTAGTCAGATGAGGAAAAGAAGAGGAACAAATGCTGGTGTCTATTCATATGTAAACACATGGAAGGACATCCTTTTTAATGAAATGAAGGCCTTCTTAGCCATTTTGCTTCTTATTGCACCCCAGAACCCCTCAAAGAGTAATAAAAGTTAAAGTATGTTAAATTGTTAATATACAGGGTGGGGAGGAAAGACTTGCTTAATTTTGGTATTGAAATAGAAAGCCTTATAGTTGATTAATTAGTTTATTTAAAGAAATAAAATGGTTCCAACATACAAATACAAAAAGAAACATTTTATTCAATATGTCCTCCTTGTTTCTCCATTACTGCCCGCACACGCCCCTTGAAACTTCTACAACTCTTCTCCAAAAAACCAGAGGACATCTTGTCTCACTTTTCTCTGATGGTATCCTTAAAAGAGTTAACATTTGGATGAGAGGTTCTATTAGTAGCATGCTCTAAAATGCTCCAAGCAGCAGAATCTCAAGGGTTGAGATCTGGGCTGGAAGAGGGACAGCAGTGTGATAGCCAAAAATTTGATTTGCAGAAATTCTGTACTTTTTTTGGCTGTATGGGCAGGAACATCTTCCAGAGTCCATACATTTTTACCTTCTGGGTAGTTGGCTTTGAGCCATGGTAATACATTGTATCTCAGAGTCTTGTAATAGGCATCAGCATTAACTTTTTCACCTGGTTTGTAAAATTTCATAGGCATTTTTTTCCCATTAGAGGCCACAACCTTAAAAACCATTACTTGAGCTGGATTGCTTCATTCTGAAAGTGCCTTTGACATGAGCTTTTGAGTGTGCAGTGTATCTTTCATTCCTGTGATTCAGTACAGAATCAACTGTAAACATCTTTTCACGCAAGAAAATTTTCATAGTGGACTTGTTTCATTTAAGTAAGGACTTTTTTTTGCATTTTTCCAATCTTCTGGCCTTCATGGATCATGTCAGCAAATGTCTTTATGTGTTATTGCATAAGATTTTAGTTTTAAGTCATCTTTCGTTGCTGTTCTGATAGTCTGAGCATCCACCTTAACTTCAGTTGCTAATTTTCTCATAGATTTTGTTGGATCTGTTGAGATTTGGGATTT